CTCCTCCCACAGGAGAGGCAGGATTCAAACATTAGCATGTGCTATCTGCCCAAGATGGCTCTTCCCTGACATTTCTGCAGAGACTTCCCTGCTAACTACCATTTAATTTCAGCTGCAGAATTATTCAGGTGATCCCTTAACCACAGACTCCTGCCTCAACACCTTTGGGCAGCGCTCTAGCTCCCCGCTTGCATGAAAAATAAAAGTTCAGTTCACATTTCTCAAAGCAGCAGCTGAAGTTTTCCCAGGCATTTGGGAAAAAATGCAAGGAAGGAGATGTAACTAAATTCCCCAGCCTGCTCTGAGAGTCTGACTCATCCCACTGACTTCTCAGAGTTTTACTTACAGCCTCCTTTGAACAAGCCAAGTCTCCCAGTGCTAGTGCACATGCAGGCAGGGACAAATGTTAGATGTTGTGAGGCTGATGTTCTTCTCTGTACAAGATCTCTGAATCTCCAAACCAATTATTTTTAAAGGCAAAAATAAAGAAGACTGGGCCAAAAATCTGAAAATGGACCAATTTGAGTTGCTGTGCACTGATGGGCGACGGGCAAATGTCATGGATTACCAGAGATGCCACTTGGCCAAAGTTCCTACCCATGCTGTGATCGCACGACCTGAGAAAGCAAAAAAAGTCCGTGAGCTGCTGGAGAAACAAGAGGTTAGTAGTACTGACAGTGGAATAAATGCTCTGGGGTTGTTTTATGTGGGATGTTCGCAGTTTTAGAGTAATGACCCTAGAATCATAGCATGGTTTGGGTTGAAAGGTACCTTAAAGCTCACCTATTCCCAACCCCCCCTGCCCTGGGCAAGGCCACCTTCCACTAGCCCAGGTTGCCCAAAGCCCCGTCCAACCTGGCCTTGAACCCTGCCAGGGAGGGGGCAGCCACAGCTTCTCCGGGCAACCTGTGCCAGGGCCTCACCACCCTCACAGGGAAGAATTTCTTCCTGATATCTAATCTAAATCTGTCCTCTGTCAGTTTAAAACTGTTACCCCTCATCCTATCCCTACACCTACATCAAGAGTCCCTCCCCAGCTTTCCTATAGCCCTTTTAAGTACTGGGAGGCCGCCCTAAGGTCTCCCTGGTGCCTTCTCTTCTCCAGGCTAAACAGCCCCAACTCTCTCAGCCTGTCCTCACTGTGGAGGCGATGCTCTGAGTTTCCTTGAGTCAGTGCAAAGCAGAAAGTTTTAAGTTACTGACATGAGGTAACAGCCTTGTCCCTTAGCCTCCCCTTCCTCCATCCCTTTCAATTTGCATTTTTTTCCTCTTCCACCTTAGCAAATACACCTTTAGGTAACATCTCTGGGGTGCCTGGTCTCTAACCCAGCTGGGTCAGGCACAGCCCCAAGAAGACAGCAGCCTCCCTGCAAATGCACAGTCTTCCATCTGCTGGTGTAAATGTAACCAGGTTAAACCAGCTCTGATTTTACACTGAAAATGTTAATATTTGCTCCACCGTCAGAGTCTGCTGAGAAGCACTTGGGAGTTCAGCTCCTTTTGCTTTCAACTCATGGCTAAGACATAGGACCTGCTGGCAGCATCTGCCGATGGGTTCTGCATGTAGTGACACGTCAAAATGGAAAAAAAAATGTTTTGACATTTGTGCCACAACTGTGCCTACACAGCACATGGACAGAAGATTCAATCCTAAATCTCTGGAGCTTGGCTGTGGGCTCCCCAGGATGATGGTGAAGAACTAAGACTAAGAGCTAGGCTTGTACTAGCTGAATCCCACTAGTTTTCTACTTTTTACATACACTTACCTCTTCATGCCTTTATTTCAGAAACTGTTTGGAACAAAAGGAGTTGAGAAAGACAAGTTCAAGATGTTTGAGTCTGAAACCAAGGACCTTCTGTTTAAAGACTTGACCAAGTGTCTGGTCAAACTCCGCAGTGGAATAACATACAAGGAATTCCTGGGAGAGGAATACTATGCTTCAGTGGCTAGCCTCAATACCTGCAATCCTTCAGGTAACTGTAACAGCCCCAGAAAGAAGTCCACAAATTGAAGTTTTTAGCCTCACAGGCATGGACAGTCTTCTGTAGCTGTCCATTTAATTTTTCAAAGCAAAATAAGGATAGCTGATGAAGATGCCAGTATACTTTTCTCAGAGTTCCTTGGATGAACTAAGAACAGGCTTGAAGTCTGCTGCTCTGGCATCAACAGGAATCAAAGATTTTTACTCACCTTTAGAAAATATGCACATTGAGAAATGGCAGAAAGAAACCCCCCCTGTCCCATCAGTGTGTGTTCAGTGTGATCTGTGGTTAATGCTCATTTTTTTGTGGCACACTGAATATATTTTCCACGTGATGACGTTGTTGGCATGGCTGGGTGTGTGCTGGTGGGATGGGAGTGTTTAAAGGCAGGATCTGAATTTTTCCCTGTTCTTTCCCTCTTCAGATCTCCTCCAGGTGTGCACCTTCCTTGAGGACAAGTAGCAAGCCGGGGAGGCCCCTTGCTGGAAGGGGAGGAAGCTTCAAGCCATGACTCCTCTCACGCCCTCAGCGCCGAACACCGACACACAGAGGGCCCTCTGCCTTCACTGCTTTCTCTGCCCTTCCTCATCACTCTGAAAGTGGCTGTTTGGGACTTTACCATTCTCTGATGCCATCACAGCAAGAAATAAAATCTCAAATCTAAGCAGGCGTCCTGAGATTTTTCAAAACAGTGCTTAAGCCCATTCCTCAGTACCTCTCGCTGTAGGGCAGTGTCAGATCCCAACATGGCTATTGTCACTTAAGGGTACTGCTGCCCATTAGAGAAATTTGTTTCAACATATGCCAAAGCAAAATGGATTAAATATGCCCTAGAGTCTAATTAACAGATGGTTTGTAATCTCTGTGCTTTTGCTTCACCGAGATTATTCCATTATCTCCCAGGCAGATGACAGTTGCCCAAGTGTGGTTGGGACACAGGGAGAGTGTTTTTATCAGGGAAGCTGAAGAGCCGAGAAGGAAAGAAAACAAAATAAACCAAAAAAATACAGCTCTTATAAGATGGAAGGTGTGAATAGAAATCTGATCTGGATCAGATTCATTTCCAGCAGGCAGTACTCTTAAAACACATAAAAGTGTAGTGATGGGGAGAGTCCAGGCTTAAGAATTCCTCTCTGAAAAAAATCTAGGACTTACTTAGAAACATGTGGGTTTTGGTAGTTTGTGCAACATGCTGCTGACCTGAAAACAAACATATAGGTGGGCAGCCTTGTCCCTCAAGCAATGTTTGTTACCTGGTGTGAAAAAGCCAGTCTTACACACAGAGCCAAGATACCAGTTTATTCCATAGTTGCACAGAGGGGTGCTAGGTGGTAGTTCCACAAAGCCAGCCCACCACACGATAAATAAGGTATTTATATGCTTCAGACTACACAAATACACATTTACTGTAATGACCATTGGTTAGTTTACTATCACTTTATCCACTTTATCCCTCATTGGTTAGTAACATTCCTTGTCTTGATTTAAAGTTACAGTGTGTTTTAGTTTTTCTGCATAAACTCAGAGGGTGAGGGTTTTTATTTGGGCTAGGGTCGTCAGAGCAGGGAGTGTGATTTTTACTATTATAACAAGGATAGTTCCTCCAAAGGACACTGTAATCTCTAATTAAGCTGATTTACGGTATACAATTTTAACAAGCTTCCATATTTCAGGGTCTTCTTAAAGGACAGTAGCTTCTGATTAGAAGTTCCTCACTAAATCATTGCTGACAGTTTAAAGAACTGACCTAACTTGATACATCCTATGTGTCCTTGTATTTGATGAGAAACAATTGTACAGGCAACAGCCTGACTCTGATCCATGGTGAAAATGAAAAGGCAAAACAAAATAGTCTGCTGAGGTTCTCTGCTTCAGAGCAACAGAGCTGGGGTAATCCGACAGGTCCCAACCCTGTTATCAAGGCAGGCATGGAAGAGCTGCTGAGGGCAGAAAGATGCTGAGAGCTTCTGGCTTTGAGGGAATGAATATTTTGATGGGCTCACAGTGATGCTTTTTTGATGCATAGGGTATATGTTGTGAGAAGACCACTAGCCTGACTGATGATCAGCTTGGAAGACAGAAACAGAGAGTGTGATGGGAAGCAATGAAATTTAGTCCCTCACATTTATGCAGGATGACGTATACTGGACAGATGGCTTTTTTAACCTGTTCTTTAAAACTGGCAAAGAAAGAGATACAGTGCCTCTAAGAGCCTGCTTCTACATGTAACTATGGCTACAGTTTGAAAACTTTCCCCAAGAAAAGCTGCATCATCAATACTCCTTATCAGGTATCCCATAAGTAGGAGGCATGGAAAAAAGGAACCTGACTAGAGGATCACAGAGTAACTCAAGTGGGAAGGGACCTCCAAGAGTCTCCAGTTCAACCTCCTGATCAAAGAAAGGGGTCAACTGGGTTGCTCAGGGCTTGACCCAGTCAGGCACTGAGAACCTCCAAGGATGATGACTCCACAATCTCCCTGGGAAACCTGTCCCACTGCTTGACAGTCCTCAAAGGCTGATTATGACACTCCCCCAAGGATGCTGTACCTTAAGCACACAGCTCTCCCACTCTGCAGGGTCCCGGGTGCTCTCAGTTCTTTCTAGAAAGCAGAGGAAGCAAAAGCTCTCACTGCTATTTAAGTATTAAGGAGATTGGTGGTCTCCTCTGCAGTCAGACCTTCCAAAAGCCATATCAGGCTAGAAAGGGCCTACAAGCACCTACATCAAAGCCAAATTACAAGGCCAAAGACACAGCAGGGATCCCAGGGGCCACTGGTTCAAGTTGGGGAAGGACGCACTGACTGCAGCTGAGCCCCACTGCTGGACTGCAAAACAGATTTTCTCCATAATGGCCCCCTGCTTTCTACCCATTTGCAGCCCTTCTCCCAGATTACTACAAAGGATGGCTGCTGCAAACCTGGCCTGCCCTGCAGACTTGGTCCTCTAAAGCCCAGGGCTGCACCCCTTTCAGGAGCACCAGGCCTGTCGCTGCCCCAAACACATTCTGGCCAGTACATGGGGGTGACTCCGGAACCTGCTGTCCAGGGGGACATCGATGGCCCCGTCCATCCTCTGGGCCAAACTGCTGCCGGGGGACAGCTGCCCCCAGCCTCAGTGCTGGCTCCCTGGAAGGGCAAAGGGCAGAAGTTCCTCCCATACCCACTCTGAACCTCTCTTGTTTCAGTGTATTCCCATTGCTCCTCATCCTGCACCACAGTGTACAGCGTGGCTCCGTCCTCCTGGTGCATGGTACAAATGTGGCCACCTCTTCTCCAGGCTCAACAGGTCCTGGTCCCTCAGCCTCACCGCACAGGGTGAGGCTCCAGCCCCCTGAACACCTTGGTGGCTCTCTTTTGAGCTCTGAAAAGGAATGAAAGGGCTCAAACAAAGGAATTTCTGACAATTATTAAGACTAAACTGTGATGTATGAAAGCTTTGCTTGTGTTTTGCCTCATTTGTTTCTCAAGGACTCCTGACTCCTCAACTGTTTCCTTAGGTCCCTCTGTCTATTTAGGTAAGATTGAAACACTCGTTAGGCTCCTGATGTAAATCACTGAGAGCAGACTCAAGGCCTTCAGTGGGCACTTGGGCAACTCCTAGAATGAGATAAGGGGGGCTCGAACAAAGAGACACAGAGACCCTGTTATAGGGAGGATGATTCTGCTGATTTAGGAGGGAGGCGCCTGGACTTTACTTCACAGCGCACTCTCCGGAAAGAGGGTCACTAGCGAACACTGTGAAGACTGCTACATCTTCCCTCCACCACTGAAGTCCCTCACCCTATTCCCACTACACATGCTCGGACTATGTAAATGAATTCTGGGAACTCATTCCTTGGCCCAAGAGACTCATCCCCCCTCTCTGCCCCCTCCTGGCAGGGAGTTGCAGAGGGCCAGGAGGTCTCCCCTCAGCCTCCTCTTCTCCAGACTAAACCCCCCAGTTCCCTCAGCCGCTCCCCATCAGACCTGTGCTCCAGACCCTGCCCCAGCTCCGTTGCCCATCTCTGGACACACTCGAGTCATTCAATGGCCTTTTTAGGGTGAGGGGCCCAAAACTGAACCCACTCGTTGAGGGGCGGCCTCACCAGTGCCGAGCACAGGGCTCAGATCCCTTCCCTGTCCCTGCTGGCCACACCAGTGCTGATACAAGCCAGGATGCCATTGGCCTCCTCGGCCCCCTGGGCACACTGCTGGCTCCTGTTTAGCCGGCTGTCTGTCACCCCCCAGGTCCCTCTCTGATCAGTTCGCTGTCGTTCACAGATGTCTTGCTTGATCCGAGGGCCCCAAAACCAGCCACAGCACCTATACATGGCCAAACATCTCGAGGCGCTTGTGTCTCAAACCAAGGTCCCAGTGCTGAGCTGGGAAGGGGCAATACCCTCCCGGACCCCCGGGGCTCTTAGGCCACTGCAGCCACCCTCGGCCCTTGCCTCGTGCGGCAAAGGCAAGGCGCTCCCTCCGCCCCGGGGCAGGCCGAGGCACGGAGCGCCGGGCCCGACCTT